ATAGCCAAAATTCCCCGGGGAATTGTACAATGCATACCATTCTTTGAGCTTTCCAGTGAAGCTCATGCTATGGAGCAGGTTGGACCACACAGATAACCAACATACATATCAAATGAAATGTATGTACAAAAGGCATATTTGTGAAAACTCTGCATAAAACTGCATTTCAGCAACGTAAGTACTTGAAACAATGCTTACACTTAAAAATGCACAAAGATAATGATTACATAAATGCATATAAGTAAATAAATGCATAGGAAAACACACATACCAAAACCCCCCACCCGTTTCTGTATACACTGTTGTGTTTTAATCACAGGCTTGTGCAGACCTGAGGTAGAAGACAGATTCAAACGTCCCTAGTAAAGATGTTATTTTCTTCTTCTTACCCTCCCATGTTTCCGCACTGTTTAAATAACTCCTTTAAAGAGGGGAAGGCCTGAAAAACCTTCAGCACGGAAAAGCTGCAAAGGCCTTCTGATCGGCAGCACTGGGAGCCCCCAACTGAAGCACCTTCAGTTGGAGCAGCCCACTGGGTTTGGCAGACAGAAGGCACCTTCTGCAGCTCATCTTCATAAAGAGGACAGAAGCAATTAGGGACAGAAAAGCCCTTACTTGTTTTCTGCCTCTGCAGGGGTACCTAATGAGAAGCTCTCTGATAAATTTAATTGGATTACTTTTCTTGTTCTGGTGGAACAAAAGAAGTTATAAAATTGAAAGATAGAAAGCTAAGGGCCCGTTTTCTGTCCAGTATGCCGTGCACTTATAATGATCCTGCACAATGCAGTGGCAGGAAACGACAAAGAGGGTGAGGAGATGTCACCCCACTAAAATAAATGGAGCTGGCCAGGTGTGGGAGTGCCTTCTGCCACCTTGGGGAAATCACTCACATTTTATGATCCAAGTTCTTCCAGCCCGCAAGCTGACGGAACACGGTGGGTTTTGAACTTCAGATCTTTGGTGCTGCATGGGATCCTGCAAGGGTCCCCCTTCCCCCTTTTCAGTCACTGCTACAACAGTTGTTCACCACAGTGAATGGGGCACTAAAGTCCCTCTGAGGGTATTGCGAGGGGGGAAGGGACTTTTCATACCTGCTCTTACAGTGCAAGAACCTGGGGGAAGTGCCATGGCTCCCTGCTGGAACCCCGGAAGGGGTTCGTAGAACACAGCTTCCTATATTCCAGTCTTGTCCAATCCGATACCCTGCAGATCTTTTCAACTTCAGTTCCCATCAGCCCCAACCAGCATGACTAACAGTGAGGAATGCTGAGAGCTGCCATCCAAAACACCTGTTGGGCACCGTTGTGGAAGGCAGCTACATCCTATATAGAATTATAATTATTAAAATGGTGTGTTTGTGTGTGTGTGCTATATGCTAAGCCAGAATCAATGCAGGATTCCAGTTTCAAGAAAAACAAACATACTTCTTCACACAGTTCACATTTAACTTATGGAATTTATTATACACTGCCTGCCTATTTGCTACCAGGACAGACTTACAGGTTTGCTGTTAGCTTGCAAAGCCAACTTGAGACCTGATTACCTTCCTCCCTGTAGACCGATTTGACAACCCCCTGGTAGCATCCTGTGCTTCTGAAGTCCACTCCACAGCCATTTCTAGCAGGTCATTTAGTGTAGCAGAGCCCACTGTGAGGATTTAGCATTTCCCAAATACTAAAGACGCAGCAACGCTTCTATTTTTAGGTGGACTGATTGTGCCAGCCCCCTCTCCGTGTTGTGCAGCAGGACATCACATGTAGGTACAACAGAAGATAAGGTAAATTATGTAAGCATCGGTGTCCCATTTGACAGTGCTCAATGTTCAGAAAGTGTGTTAGAAATAATGCATATTGCACGAAGATCCCGATGATTACATTGCATTAATGCCCCGCCTTCCTTCCTCTTGCAAGGTACCCGAGGTGGCTTGCCAGGTTCTCCCCGCATTCCATCCTCACAGCAACAACCCTGCAAGGTAGGTTAGGCTGAGTGCCTGTGACTGGCCCAGTCACTTAGTGAGCTTCTTGGCTGAGTGGGGACTAAATCTCAGAACTGCCGAGTACTAAACCAGCATCCTAACCATGCTGGCACCATGATGATGATTATTTAAGCCTTCTGTCGTGGGGGAAAAGTGTGGTCCCCTTGCTAACTTTAGTCACCGTCTGCTGCAGCTTCCTCACCTCCCTGATGCCTTTTCTGAGGTGGGGTCACCAAAGCAACACATAGCGTAAGATTCTAATTTGGGCACAGAACGGTGTGAGGAGCCACGCTGGGACTTCGGCCTTTGCTCTGACTCAGAGATGGAAGGCCAGGCAACTCCAGCCATCCAGCCGTTCCAGGAACAGAATAATATGTGCAGCATCACCAACCAGGCCAGAGGTGGAGCCCAGCCTCCAGGACAGGGTCTCTTGAGCTACAAGCCCGCGTGTGCTTCCAAAGCCTCCGTCCCCTGAGAAACCAACCGCTTCCATGCACTGCTGCATCCACCTCCCCGTGCAGCCAAAACACCTGGTGGAGAAGATGCAGTGGTCTCTCGGCTGCAGCGCTGCTTCTTTCAGACTCCCAACTCCTCACAGAAAAGCGGAGCCAGAGGGGCTCATCGGCTTCCAGAGGTTTTCAGGTTTTCATTTGTAGACATTGTAGGAGCAGCCTGAAACTTCCTCTTCTCTTGGGCACCTTATCAAGTTCAACATCAGAACAGGGCAGAATATAGCACAGGGGTGGCCAAACTGAGGCTCGGGAGCTGCATGCGGCTCCTTGAGTTCATTTGCGGCTCGCCACTCGCTGCTGCAGGAACTCAGGGGCACCCGCTTGCAGTTCTCAGATCTATGACATTTACCCTCTGTGGCTCTTCTGCTGAGCAAGTCTGGCCACCCCTGGCATAGCACAACACATGCCTTCCTATACTGATGCTTACCTAGCTACCAGCGGCTTGAAGGAAGCAACAGGTTACAGATCTTCCGTCTTACATACAGCAATTCTAGTTATCGGCTAGAGGGAAGTGGAGGTGGTAGGAGAGATACTGAGTGCCCGTCAAAACCTACAATGGCGCTAATTTAAAAGCTGGGGATCCTTGACAGTCTCCTTCCATTCTGGAGAGAAATGAATGCAGAAGCCAGTTGCTTGTGCAACTCAGGATAATAAGGAGCCATCCACACCAACGGCTTGTTAATAATTTTTATCATTACAGGACGTTTGGGAGATGACAACCAGGACTTCAAATGCTGGAAAAATAACAGGGGAATGAACTGGAACTGAGGTGTTCTCTTAAGCTTACTGTAGGCCAAAGAAAGATAACCGTTCCATTAAATGGTAATAATTACTTTTTCACCTTTTTTCAAGAGATGTAATTTCATTCCTTGGGCCAGAGTGTGTCGTGTGCCATTCGCGCTATTCCTGAGGCCAGAGGACAGAACTTCTGTGGTTTAGGGAAATTGTGAGTTTGCCTATCAAAGAAATGTGGGTTCTCTCTTCAAAGAAAATAGAACACTGCAGTAAATTTATGGAAGGCACTCACTGGCAATGACGATGAAGGGGGAAAGCCCCCATAAATTTTGTGAACAGATTCTGTTGGTTCCGGTGATGTTCCAGTTATTGGGGTGACGGGAGAAGAACTTCCAGTTTGCCCAGTATTAAATCTATTGCTTTATTCATATTTGCATTTTTATCCAACCAAACCAACTCTGCAGGGGTTCTCTTGGGAGAGAATCATAAAATGCAATTGTTTTAAAAAAGCCCATGCTAGTCACCCAAATCCAGTGCCCTCAAGATGTTTGGGTGTAATCCTCAGCATTCCTACCTGGGACTGATGGGAACTGAAGTCCCAAACATCTAGGGTGTGCTATGGTGGGAAAGGCTGCACTACACCTTAAAGTAAAATGATATAATTGCTAAGCAGTAAATTGAAGCAGACATATAAAAGCCAAAAACTAACATAATGCCAACCCATCAATTATAAACCAAAGGAAAGTTATTCTGGAGATCCGGTTCCACCTGCTGCTTAAGGACATGAAAGAAGCATCTGCCTGGATGATTCTAGGTGGGGCATTTAATGGATAGGAGCCGTGGCATTCTCTTTTTTCACCTGCTCTTGACTAGACATTATCGCTCAGTGAATCACCTCTTCTTTCCCCTGGCTAAACTTTTGCCTGTCTGTTTCTTACAAGACTCCTGCAAGTTTAGCAAGTATGTGCAACATTCCCTCATTTGTGTAATGAATTAGGCTCCCGGGAACAAGAAGGGCATTCTTCATGTGGAACGTCGGGTTTCCAGTCCATGCATTATGATGACATCCATCATTTACTAACCTACATTTCTGTGGCCCATGCATGGATTGGAATGAGAAACCTGCACCCTTTTAGCCTGCAGAAGGGTAAATGTAGACCTTTAAGGTAGAAATGTTGCGAGAAGCTCATTTATGCCTTCCTGCTGGATACAGATTTAAACAGATCTGTGAAGGTGTCCCCGTTCCACAAGATCTGCAAGCGATGGTGGTGCATGCTTGTTTTTACGAGGAGCTGGGTCAGGGTCAGAATCAGGAACAGGCCTGCTTGCCCAAAATCATGAGCACCCATGAACAACTCTGTGGGGTGGTATGAAAATATAATACATAAACCAAGATCAAGCTGCTGTTTCTGCTGCCTCTTGCTCTGGCCCAGACAGCAGGGATGGTGAAACGGAGAAGCCACAGATGCGACTGCTCGGCACCCTGCCCGTCAGCCAAACGACGTAGCGATGAAGAAAGGGGAGGAGGAGCAAAAGCAGGTGGAGGCAACGGATGGGCCCTGCTCGGGGGGGGGGGGCGTCTCGCCTGGCCCCAAAGATCTGGAGCACTGGGAGGGGCCTGTGACCTTGCAGGGACTTCCACGCTGAAATATGCTGGTGAGCTGGGCAAAACTGGGGCTACCGGGCACCACGGAAACACATCTCAGGATGCCAAGGAGACGCTCAACCAGCCTTTGCTCACTGAGGTGTGCAACAAGGAGGGGTTCTGAGAATCCTACCTTCCTTGAAGGATGTTTCTCTGTAGTGTCCACATCTCCATCCAGGAATGGCATAGCAAAGGAGCTGAGATCCTTGAGGAAACAAGAGAAGGAGAGTTACCGCCTTTTGTGAAAGCGTTTCCAGGGGCACGCTGCTTGCTCTACAGAAACATGAATAAGGACGTTCCAAAAAGAAGAGCCGCTTCAGCGTAAAGCTGCCTTGAATGGCATACTGAGCTTCCCCTCTCCCCACACAGAAAATGTTTGCCTTCTGAAGTATGGAAGAGTGGCCATTTTTAGCAGTACAATGACTGAAGAAGAGCTGACTGTCCCCCTTTCCCTTCTATTTCTATTTCTCTCCAATAAAGCATGTTTTATCCTGCTTTCCCATATAAAATACCCAAGACAGTTAACAAAATTGTAACAGTCTGTTAATTAGGTGGAGTCTAATCCTCCAAACACTAAATTACTACTTGTATACGACGCTTGTCTACCCAGCAGAAACCTGTTTGACAGCAGGCAAAAGGAGGAGGCTAAAATGGAAGCAGCTTGCCCAGGCCGATGGCAGAAGAGGAAGCCGAGCCCAAAGCACAAGGATGCTCTCCGAAACTGTCCTCAGTTGCCCAGCCGTGGACCACAAACCTCCTCCCCATATACTAGCACAATTAGGTTGATGCTCTCACTGCCTGTAATGACACCGTAAGAGAGGCGTTTCTACCTTATCAATGGGGAGAAAGCATGTAAAAGCTGCAAAAGCACGAAGCAGCCAGCACTTCGAGGAAACACGCTGCGGCCAGGAGAGCAGAGCGGAGTCTTGAGACTTTGGGCCACGGACCTGCGTCTGAGTGTCCTGCTCTCTGGCATGAATGCGATGATCCTAAGGAGATTTGACATGCACATGGTGGGCATGTCATGAGCGGAGCCAGCTGCAGCCGGGGGTCAGACTAGATGGCCCGGGAGACCCCTTCTGACTCGCTCTGTTTCTCTGTTTCGGTTTCGAATTTAAAAGAATCAGGAGGATGGCAGCAGAGGAAAGAATACTCCTTTGTAAAACTATTGTTTGTGAAGACAGGCATCCTTCGGAAAATGCTTGGTAAGACAGGATCAAACGTCACAGCGACCATCCTGACATTGCCGAATCCTCCAGTGCCTACCAGCTCCAGTCCTATATCACCTCCATTGGTTACTGATTGAAGTCCAGCTCAATTTAAGGTGCTAATGCTGACATATGGTTTGGGCCTAGATATCTGAAAGAACACCTCCTTCCACATATACCTGCCCAGACCCTAAGATCACCTGCAGAGGCCCTTCTCAGGAAGCCCACTTTGAAAGAGGCTAGCAAGGTTGCAACCGGGAGAATCACTCTGCTTTCAGGGGTAGCACCCTGACTATGGAATTTGCTTCCAATGAGCTACGCCTAGCACCAACTCTGAATTCTTTTAGACATCAAGGCAAACCCTTTTTATTTTCCTAGTATTTTAACATTTGAATGGCTTTATTATATATTTTATTTATTGTGTATTGCTCTTTTATTGAAGTGCTGTTGTGTTGTTATCATTGTTTTAGAAAAGAAACCATCTTGAGATTTCATTGAAATATTAGACAGTATACATGTTTTAAATAAATAAACAAACAAACATTTCACCTCTGTTGAAACACCAAAGTATGGATTTGATGATGCACAAGACGAACCTGCACTTCAGATAAGGTGAGTAATGATTACTCTCAACCCCTGGGCCCATCTATTCCTTCGTAGCTGTGACACCAAATCCTGCAACTTTCCTCACCATTGTAGGGTTTCTATTAACCCTGCAGGCAAACAAAAATGTTTGCTTGGACTTCTCCTTCCCACCAGAAGAGTCTCTAATCCCTAAAGAACAGATCTAAACCTATTCTTTCATATATGATACCTGCGTATTCTCTATGTTCCTCCCCGTCTTTGCAGTCAGTTATAAGCAGCCGTTCACACCAGCTCATTCTCTTTCTAGAAGGTTCTAGTTCAGAATGCTCCCAATGCATGATGAGCACAATATGTTAGTTTTAATAAAAGACTCATCTTCATACTCCACCAATGCTTGTTCCCAAATTGCACAAGTGCAACATAACCAATTAATGCCCGTGTAAATTTATTACATATTCTATCACTAGCAGAATTCTTCATACAGAGCAGGAGACATAAAATATGCAGAGCAAAAGATGACCATCAATGCAATGTTCCAAATTAAATTCAAAGCAGACGATACTTCCGTGCCACAGTTCAATATATTTCCATTAGCAGGAACCATGTTCTTTTTAAATTAATTAACAATAATTAACAAAAAGCCAAAGGAGGTGGGGAGTGTCAATCAGGTAGCTTTGAGTGATGGCAGGAAAATTTCACTTATGAGAAAATATGCCCAAGTCGTCCTTAATTAAAGAAAATAAATTGCAAACACATTCTTGCACCAGCTGCTTGCTTGTTGTCTAGTGGAATTTATCTTCAATGAACAATGCATTGTTTTGTAGTATGTCCATATTTAGTAAGCACTTGATGAGAGCTAGCATGCGTACAGAACCAAACTTTGAATTCACAGAGTTCAAAACCCCTCCTTGGCTATGGTTCAAATTCCCACCCAGGCCTAGGAAAGGAAAATTGGAGCCAGTGCAAGCCCTCTCTGCCCCACAACACCCACAGGCAAGTCACCTTTCCAACCAAACTGACTGTGTGGTTCAGCAGTTTCAAGGCCTTGAACCAAAACTAGCCTATCGAAGAATGCCCACCCAGCGACCTGCCTAGAAACAAGCATGAAGGGGTGGACGTGATAACCAAACCTACTGATTGCTTTCATCTGTGTCCTACCTTTGGCCGACAATAATAAAACTCTCACTAAAAACAAAATCCTACAACAGATGATTAAACCACAACAAGGAATAAAGCAGAAATACCCAACCAATTAAAACATACATAGACAACTTTCTATCTTGCAGGCCAAAAACTTGCCTGAATAAAAACAGGTTGGCCTACAGGCTGAAGGACAAGAACAGAACCAGCCTGGCGTGTAGTTCCCAAGCCTGAGACTAGCCACCCAAGTTCTCTCTTACATTCTCACAAAAGGTTCCCCTTCCTCAGTGGTGATGGGACTGAGAAGGGCCCCCCAAGAGAAGCCGAGTAGGTCCATAGAAGAGAAGGTGGTACCTTGGAAAACCTGGTTTCATGTTGCATAGGGCTTCAAAGGTGTTCCTCAGCACTGAATTGTTCCAAAAAGCCGCCAATTAAGGTGCTATAAAAAGGGAATCTTGTGCACCCTGTAACCTGTGCCAAGGAATCTCGTGTGGCTGCAGCATTTTGGACCAGCTGAAGTTCTCTGCACACTTCTGAAGGGCAGCTTCACGTGCAGCATGTTGCAAATGGGATACAGTCCCAGTGTGACCATGACCAGATCAAACATCTGCAGGAATGGACACAGTGGCCGCACTAGCCCCTGTCGTGCAAATGCACATTGGCTTCCACCAAAACAGGCATTCAGGTTCTGGGCTGGGTCCAAGAACTTGCTGACAGGTCCCCTGTAAGAGGGAAAGTTGAGGTCCTGGCAGCCCACCTCAGTAGATTTCCACTTGCTACTGTATCTGCGCAGATCAGTTGCTGTCCATGGCAATAGTAGGAACCACTGGCCACTTCAACGGAGCAGAGTTCCTGTTTTTCCAGTAACCAGCAAGGGTCGTGGGAACCCCTTAGTTAACTCCATGGGATTGTGTAGCTACCGATTGGCCAGGTTCCCCTTGTGCTATGAGATCAGCTAGCCAATCAGCAACCCTTTGCATGCAAGGCGATGACTGAGGCAGCCTCTCTTCCCCCATGATGATTTCCAGTAGCAGCAATCCCCCCACCCCACACCCCAGTTTTGAGCCAGTGGCTGATGGTTTCTACTAGCAAGGTTATGGTCAACCACTACTGTTTGCTATGAGAAAATAGAAGGACCCCTCTTGTCAAATACACAGTATCTTCTCGAGTGCATGGAAGCTTTGTCATCGACCTACAGCATGGCCCTCTTGAGTATGTCTACTCAGAAGTATGTCCCTCTAAGTTCATTGAAATTTGCTCACAGGTACGTGGGTATGGGCTTGCAGCCTTGAATAAGCACAGAAGGAAACCATTAAAAAATATTGTACACACAGAAAAGGGTCAGCGCATCCGAGATCCCCAGCATAAGCATCAACAGAGGATAGAAGGCCTACCATCTGATCTAATCAGCTGCACACACGTTTCAGGTTCTGAATACATATTTTTACAGAAAGAGACATATCAAATAACACAAGTCAAAACCAATTTCATGACTTTGAAAAACAGTTATGAAGCTAAACCATGAAACGGAGATTAAACATACTGAAGTTCTGGGATGGAGAGACTACAGAAGCAATTCAGGGTAGAAAACTGCCTTCTGACAGCGGCTGCCAGGCCCTGGGAAACTCAGATTAGTGGCTTGCTTTGCTTTATAATAGCCAAAAGAGAAAATATTAGGGTCGTTAAGAGAGGGTACAGCAAAGACACGTGTCTTCATGGCCAGATCTGACATCTCCTGACAGACATGCTGTTGCTGTGTCAACCCCAGCCATCTGAATGCACCTCAGCCATCAGCAAAACCTGGGCATGCAGATGTGGCGTCACAAGAGTCTACCCAGGCAGGCAACCTGGGTCTTCAAGGGGCACATAACCCCATTCAACACAGGCTGAATCCCCATTCCCTGATCTGTCTTCTCTCACCTCTCTCTTGTCTGATTGGGCTTCAATCTGTTTGCCCTCCGCTCCCCTTATACTATTTTGCCCAAGTCTTTTCTTATTTCTGCTCCTGGAGTCCAGCAAGGGGAAGGAGAGCAGCAGCTTGTTGGAAGCCGTTTGTGTTGGAAGCCATCCTGAGGCTCATGCGACTGGGACGGCATACCAAAACTCCAAAAAAATAAATAAGCAAGCAAGCAAGGAATAAATAACTGACGGGTGAAAATGTACTCCTTCCATAGGCTGCTTCTTTCCAAAGATCACCTACCCTCTTGCTCCGCTGTTGTTTTAATGTGATCCACATTCTTCTTTTTATTTATTTCAGGCATTTATAGCTCAG